TCTCTATCCGAGATGAAATGAGATAACGTAGCGTCATCTGTAAGAACTTGCAACAACTGTGTTTCTCTTCTTCGCAATAATTAGAAATCTGCTTTGGAAAGATTAGTGTTTTGTGAATGACGCTGTAGCTAGGCTGTAGCGCAATCTATGTTACACGAAGCTTATTAATAAGCTGCGAGGGTGCTCGCCAAGACCTTTTGATTCACGTTAGTGGTACCTACCAGCATGAGGGCCCACAAACATTTTCTTCTACGACGGAGGCGGGGATTTCGAGAGAGGGTGGGGCTTGATTGAGTTTCCCCAAGTTTTTGTATCTATAATTATGTCAGCCCCTAAAATTCTCCCAGGAAGGCGGGGGAGAATCTCAAAAATCTTAAATATGATGCGCAAATTCTTGCTAATTATGCAAGTCTTATGAGGTAGTCGGATCGTCAGGGCGTACATGCCTAAATGTGAAAAATGTAATTGTAAAGTTGGCTTAAGAGCAAAATTTCAATACCGGCAGATTTAGACTTCAATAAGATAAGATAGGACATACAAATTTTGTGCGAAATTACCTTGCCAGATCTGAATCATAGAGATGTCTCCCCACCTTGAACGTATTCCACCCCCGCTCATCAATTGTCATAAGGCATTTGCTCTTAAAAGCACTGCTAAAGCATGCTTCAATGTTCAATCACTGCTATATCGCCCCGCCACCTCAAGACGAACATCTTCTTGAAGATAAATCCTGCGACCCTCACTACGCCCTCCGCCCTAGACAGATTCCTAAATCTGCCAGGACAGGACTGGGAGAGAATCACTGAGGTCCCGTATTTGATAGATAGAGAGAGAGAAAAACACCTATGTTAGACTAGGAGCGCGAATGGAGCGTACTCGATACCAAAGACAATGAGTCCGTGGATGCTTGATTCGCGCTATTGCTCTAACACGTGTTTCTCTCTGACTTTCTATCTTGCATATGTCCTTGTTGCTTTGTATCGATTATAAAAGAGAGCGCATTTGAAGGTAGGTTTTGCAGAATATAGGAGATTTTCAAACGTTTCAAGTTGGAAGAAACTATCCTAGAATTTAGAGAAAATTTGGAATGGAGTCTAGTTTTTTACTTTAACACGATGCGACAGCTTATGAAAATGGCGCATCCCAACAGATGTTACAGGTCAGCAATGAAAAGTAAAGGGCACACAAGTAAAAACATTTATTTTTTGAAATATAGTATCAGAGGTTCTATACATATATTTACACAACATACTGAAATAAGCAACTATAAGACTAACATACACAACCACAAAAATGCAAATTACTGTACATAATAGAATAAAACTCAAATCTTTTTTATTGCATATACATTTTGGACACGTCACAATAATTTACTGGACGATAGCGCTGTTTATCTTTAGTTTAAAGAAAGGACATATCAGCCAACATAACAGGAAATATTTACCAAGTTCTAGGATCTCAACGTACTTGTACAATATTACAGTTCACCATTTTTTCAGACATACAATAGCTAAAGACGCTATTTTAGTTAATGCTTGCTTGATACATATAATGCTCTAATGTGAAATAACTGTTAGATAGATTGTAAAACACAAGTTCCTAAATTTTAGATGCGAATGGTAAAACTGAGAAATGTACAGATTCCATAGAACTTGAGAAACCATTATTCTATCGATTCATAGGTTTATCTTTCTCTTGCAGCTTTCTTATAAAATGCTGCGTCAGTAGATATTATAAGCAACTAGTTATTTTTTCGAGATCAATTTCAAGCACGAAAACGGATTTACATTACAAGAAAAAATTCACAACAAACGGAAGCAGAAAGTTTCTGTGGGTGCAACTCATATCTTTTTGGCAGTCTTCAAAAACGAAGCCTCAAACGATTATGATAGTATTGTATCTTTGCTAGAATATCTTAAGAACATCTTTCCCCTTCTGATGTTTTTGTGTAAATAAAGGAAGCATAACTACTCAAAACGTGCTCAGAGGTAAGGATCCAGTGGTCTCCAAAATATGTTGAAATATATACGATTAGTTTAATCATATTAGACAAAAATACCCCTGGTTTGCGAAGTACTTGTGAAGTCTGGTTTTATTGCTGCTAGTTGTTCAAGAGAGTATTTAAAACATGGACGCATAAAATAGGTACACCAATCTTTGTGGGAGAACTTTTCATTCGATAAAAAAGAATGAGAAAACGTGCAATTAGGGATTCAATCGAAAGTGTTGGCAGAAATGAAAAACTCTTTATATAAGATTTTTTAGGTATCTATGAGACCTACAAAATGAGTCAACATATAAAAAGATACGACTAGTAGCAAAAAAGTTATGGCCGAAAACCGAGGGAAGCTGCAGGTTTTGGTGCTTGTTGTTAATGTAACGATGGTTTCTCGCAGATGGTTAAAGTTTTTCAAATTTGTACTTCTAAATAACCACAACAAAATTGGAGCAGATTGGTCAAGTAGTTTTTGAGAATTTCTGATTGTTTATTGAAATTCAAATTCAAATTCAAAATACATTTATTTGCCAAAAAACAAAAACAATAAAAACATTATATTTACCGTATTATAGAAAATACACACACTTAATAATATTTTTCGCAAAAAGGACAAATCCTCGATCAAATGACCGGTAACACCCAGCTTTACATAAGTAGAAATACATCTACACACACATACAGCATCTATGCTCGCTTCTCCATCTTAATAAAAAGTTAAATTTGAAAAAATAAACTTGACAACAAGTATCCGTGCACAATCACACTCATTATTGTATTATTGATCCTGAAGAAGCATGGCCATTATATACTTTGAGAATACTCTTTGTGACATTACCTTTACATCATTATTTAGACTGTTCCACATTTTAACTGCAAGAAATGAAAAAGAACGTTGAAATGCTGCAGACTCATGTCGAGGAGTAATAAAAAAATTCTGATTACACCTTGTCCCGTAATAATGATTAAAAGTTGAAAGCTCATTTTTCAAATACGGAGGTTTTCGTGATTTTATTATTCTATAGATGAAATTAAATAAATGATGTTTCCTGCGATTTAGCATATTCAGTATAGACAAACTGTTTAGGTAAGGCGTTATGTGGTTACGATAAGGTATGTTGAATGAAAATCGCATGCAGGCGTTCTGCAATTTTTGTATCGCATTGTTAGTAGTATATGCCAACGAGCTCCCATAAACTATATCTCCATAGTCAAAAAGCGACAGTATGAGATTATGACAAAGGAAATACTTTTGCTTAGGTAGTTAACATTTTTTTAGTTTGGAGATATTTCTTAATCGTATGTAAGCTGCCGTCAATCTTTTATTTCTGTGTGGTTCAAATGATAATGCATTATCGAAGATTACGCCTGGATTTTTTGCTTCGTGAACAATGGGGACTATCTCATTGTTTATACGGATATTCAAACTACGCTCAATATTTCTCCTAAGTTTGAAACTAGATCCCAAAATTAAAGCTTTTGATTTAGAAGCATTCAGTTTTACATTGTGGCGTATGGTAAAACTGTTTACCTCTAGCAGGTCTGAATTATTGTGATTTTCGGTTGTGCCTAAATTGTCGTTATTAATAGCAATACAAAGTTGTGAGTCATCGGCGTACTGATGAAGCCTTGCATAAGCAACAGCTTCAGACATATCTGCCACATAAATACTAAACAGCAAGGGCGAAAGGATTGATCCTTGAGGGACACCTTGTTTTACAGGTTTAAATTAAGATTTGAGGCAAACGGATCCTTGAGAAATCATAACACAGCTTGATCGAGTACTTAGGTAACTTTTTAAAAAACTTATTGCATTAGGTGAGACTCCAAAATAGTTTAGCTTTGCCAGCAGCATTCTGTGATTTAGAGTATGAAAAGTTTTGCTGAAATCTAACAAAATCATGCAAGTAGCATTCGGACATCGTTTAAAATATTTACCAAGCTTGTAGTTGTACTAAAATTCTTCCTGAATCCCGATTGCTATTGAGGAATGATATTTTGCTATTCAGAAAATTCCGACATCTGAACAAAAATGTGTTTTTCTATAAGTTTTGACACAGAGGACAAAATTCTAATTGGTCTTTAAGTTCTTTAGGCTCGCCAACCTTTGATATGGGTTTCACAATAGCCTTTTTCCAAACAGAAGGGTAAGTATTTTCCAAAAGGCATGTGTTAATAATATTAATCAATGCATTTGCGCAGAAAGGAAGACACAATTTTATATCTTTGATGGATATGCCATCCTCTCCAATCGCACCTGATGAAATGGAATTAACAATTTGTATTGGTCTGCTCCGATGTATCAAATGAAATTCCAAATTATTATTTACAGCTTGATTATTTTCATGAAAACTGATTAAATGTCTGGCATGTTATCAGTCCTCTGAAAAAAATCATGTATCTCAGATGGATTTAAGAGATTATCAGGAAGTTCAGTAAGAGTCCTCTGGTTGGTCAGATTAAGCCATCGCGCGGCTTTCCAAAAATCGTCTTGTTTTTTTCTTGCTAGTTGATTAAAATAGGCAACTTTTTCGCGGATAATAGCATGCTTAGTGAAATTTCTTAGTTGTCTATAATATCTATCTTGGATCTTAAGTATTTTTTATCCCACAACACCTGTTTTCCGGCAATCACTACTAGTTTATTAAGCCATATACAGGGTTCGTTCTAAGAGAATTTGATAGCAAAATACACGTGTTTACCTTGCCAATATGAATAACAAACCATTCCGAAAGATAAATGTTATTTTTATGCAAGAAAGAATGGGTTACTTTTTTCTTCTAAACAAATACAAGCATTTCATATTTGTGAGTAATTCGCAACAAAAGATATACACATCCGCTTTGTTTTAAGATCGTGTATAGTAAGGTATGTTTTTCGAATATCGTAGCGCATTTGTTCAATTACTCACAAATACGACAAGTTTGAAGTTATTTAGAAGGAAAACACGTATCCATCTCGTTGCGCATAAAAATAACATTTATCTTTCGGAATGGTTTTTGATTCATATCGCCAAGGTAAACACGTGTATTTTGCTATTTATTATATGCTCTATGAACGAACCCTGTATATTGCTCAATATACTAATAGTGTTGACCGGAAAACAGGTGTTTTGTGAAAAACAATTAGACTTACTCAAAAAACTACTTGACCAATATAGTCCAATTTTGTTGTTATATGAGTCCTACGGATCTGAGAAATTTTAAGTAGTTGCGTGAAATTTTCGTCGCATTACCAAGTGCCAAAACCTGCATTTTGCTTCGATAGTTATCCCACAAAATTTGGTGTACCCATTTTATACGCGTATGTTTTAAATACTCTCTTGAACAACTTGCACCAATAAAACCAGACTTTCAGAGTCAGACTATTATTTAAAAATCTGTCTCAAGACAAGGCGATTATTTGAAACCGTCACAGGTCGGACCAGATATGTTTATAGTAGTCCACAAAATAATTTCTTGAGTTATTGCGCTACGTCTAGGGAGCAGCATGTGTATGATTATATCGATAACAATGCTTTACCCACACAGGAAAACAAAGTTGCATCAAATTACCCACAACTCTTGATAAATAACACACTCACTGTGGTAAAATGACACTCACAACCTTTTATTTACTTGCAGCCGCAGTTGCGGCCACTTTACTCATCAGACTGTCTATACTAAACCCCTGTCCCCCCGCACTGCTTGTCCCACTTCCTCCTGGCGACGATCCACTTGTGCCCAGGTTGTGGGTCAGACTGTGCCTGCGCAGGTCGCAGTTCCGCCTGAACACCTTTCCGCACGCCGAGCAATTGTAGGGCTTGATGTCCGTGTGGGTCAGCAGGTGGGTTTTCAGGTTGGAACGCTGGTTGAAGGACCTACTGCATACGGGACACTTGTGCGGGGACTCCTCCATGTGCAGGATCTTGTGGACTGCTAGCGTGCGGGACTGGCAGAAGCCCTTGCCACATTCCGTGCACTTGAAGGGTTTTTCTTTACTGTGGATGTACCTGCAATAGACACAGAAGTTAATATCGTTACTATGACCTGTGAGGGCGTACGATGGGCCAATTCCATGTGTGATGGATATCAAAGTAGCTAATAGATGACGTTATCTAAATGTAATCGGTGGGAAGAAGAAATTTGCAGATGGTTGGAGAATAATACAAATCCATTAAAAAAAGTGGTTGACTGTGAGGCTCATAGGAGATGTTCAGCACGAGTTAAAATTATTACGAACGTGTATAACAAACGAATTAAATAGATCAAGTCGGTCAAATAGGTCCATACCATTAGTCCCCAGTCCCATCTCATTTGACAGTGTTGCGACCTAGAAATTTTTGCTCGGCGCTACCGACCATCCGAAAACGTTTTGACCAGATTTTCTATGGGTAAGCCACCAGCGGCGGCGAATGGCTAGCAAAAGGTTGAAACTCCATTTTCATTGCGCTCGAACTAGGTACCGGAAATATAAGTCAAATATATGGAAATGTGAAATATCTGCGTAGTATTATCGGTAAGAAAATATATTAGCGCCTTCCTCATCCTTGCAACAAAATGTCCCAGTTTTTTACCCATCTCAAACGTCAAAGGAAACGGATTTTGGTCGATTATTATTGTTTTCGTATTTTGCCTGGAGCTCAACTATCACTGCATTGATTATCAAGAACTACAATGCTTTTCCGTCTTTGACATAGTAGTAGATTTGTTTCGAAATTTCATGTCATGTTACAAGATATTTTTGATTTTTTTCGCGACTACAATATTTCCTCATCAATTCGAGGTATTTCTTAACTACGCCTCAAAGTACCAGATATATGAAAGGCATCGGCTGCTTTTCCGGGTTATGGGGGTGATTACATCAGAATATGCGAATTGCTGGTTGTTTGGCGTGCGGCAGAAAAAGATGACAATATTCCAGAGACAACACCTGCGGAATCCCGACAAACCAAAATATAATCACTCATATTACCGCTGGTAATCACGATTCCAGATACTTTTTTTGCTCCAAAAGCAATATATTAGAAATTAGAATTGAAATCTAATACTGGCAACCCACAAGCAAACAAAATGCTGTTGGTTTGGGAAACTTACGACTATGATAGTAAAATGGTCAGTAATTATGTATATTGCCGTATACAAAAACGTTAATGTTAACCTTATTTGACATTTACCTCAATAGGCTTTTGGTTAGCACATTTGTCGACAAAAGCATAGCTATCGTTATACGGAGTCGGCAGTGTCGGCACTGTAGCGTCTTCCGGTCTGTTAACCTTATTAACCATAACAACCCTTTTCATTTACGAAAGATTAGTCCTATCGAGTGTTAACGGCTATTTTCGCTTTGGCATTTGCCCAATACCATGAGAGCTTAAAATGTTCGGTTTCTGGTTATGTTAGCCCTTATGGCATGAATATAAATAGTGATTCATCATTATATAAAAAAGATCACACATTCTAAAAAAGGTATATTTAACATCAGATGAATGAACTAATAAGCCACAAAACGCAAGCCGCTGAGCGTAACATAAATAAATAATAACTATCCTTGTGAAATACCCCATAGATGTAAGATGAAGTGATTTGAAAAAATAATTTATTGAATGTATTCAATTGGAATGGCGTGTCAAGCGGATGGCAGTCTGCAAAATAGAGTACTAGCAGATTACATAGAATAGATGAGTGAGTAAATGATTGTCGATTCCAAAAATAAATGCAAGTTATCATTAATAACCACGAAATTAACTAGAAGTATAACGAAATTGACATTTCCAGTTGCTGGCAAAAACCTCTCTAATGATTCATGTGTGATATAGTCTAATCACATGAGCAAAGTTCCCCGAAATAGTTGTAAAGTCTGGTTCAAGGGGGTATTTAAAACATGAACGCATAAGAAGGGTACACCAATTTTTGTCTGAAAACTTTTTATTTGATAACAAAGTATGAGAGAGCGTGTTTTTTGGTAATCAATGGAAAGTGGTGACAGTAACGAAAAAACTTTTAAAATAAGCTGTTTATGAGACATACAAAATGAGACCACACGTAAAAAGATCAGACTAATAGCAAAAATTTTCTGGCCGGAGAACGAGGCAAAATACAGGTTTTGGCACTTGTTGGTAATGCGATGATAATTGCACGCAACTACTTGTAATTCCTCAAATCCGTAGGATTTGTAATTATAAATAACAACAACAGAATTGGAGTATATTGGTCAAGTAGTTTATGAGAATGTTTAATTGTTTATCCCAAAACACCTGTTTTCCGGCCAACACTAGTAGAATATTCAGGGTTTGTTCAAAGAGCATTTAATAGCAAAATACACGTGTTTACCTTGGCGATATGAATCAAAAACTATTCTGAAAGATAAATGTTATTCTTTTGCGCAAAAAGATGATTACGTTCTTTCCTTCTATACAATTTCAAACATTTCGTATTTGTGAGTAATTGAACAAAACTATACACCTTCTAAAACAAAGCGGATGTATCTATCATCTTTTGTTGCAATTTAGTCACAAATACGAAATCTTTAAATTTGTTTAGAAGAAAAAACGTAACACATCATTTTTGCGTAAAAATAACATTTATCTTCTGGAACGGTTTGCGATTCATATCGGCAAGGTATTTTGCTATAAAATGTACTTGACCAATCTGCTCTAATTTTGTTGTCGTTATTAACAAGTACGATCCTACTGTGAAGAATTTCAAGTATCTGCGAGAAACCATCGTCGCATTACCGACAAGTGCCAAAACCTGCAGTTTGCCTCGGTTTTCGGCCATGACATTTTTGCTATTAGTCGGTTCTTTTTACGTGTGGTCTCATTTTGTATGTGTCATAAGTACCTGAGAATTTTTTTCGTTCCCACTTTCAATTGAATCCTAAAACACACGTTTTCCCATTCTTTGTTGTCGAATAAAAAGTTTTAACACAAAAATTGGTGTACCCATTTTATGCGTCCAGGTTTTAAATACCCCTTGAACAACTTTGCAACTGTAAAATCAGACTTTACAATTATTTCGTAAAACAGGGGTATTTTCGTCTAATATGGTTAGGCTAATAAATGTGAAATAAGATTAACTATAAGGCTCACAAACGCGGTATATATGTTTATTATTATCAACACCATTTGGTGATGATATTCACTAGGTGAAACATGCTGCTCCTTATGCATTCTTAGCAGTTTCCTATACGAATCATAGCTATTTCGAAACTTCTGAACCAAATGTTAGAAATTAAACTGCGGTTCTGCTCACACTGTCATCCATAAGCATTTTTGATAACTGCAAACAAAACTTATACCGCTGCTTTGAGCGAGACTTATGTCCAATCTAAAAACATCCTGCATATTCGACGAATGTGTACTGCAAATGACTAGCAGGTGAGATATAACTTAATGATGTCAAATATTTAATGTAACCAAGGATGCAGCTCATCGGCATGAACAAACAAATTAATATATCATACTCGAAAAATTAATTCTGCAAATTAGTTCCAAAAGTTATGAATATTTATCAGCTATACATACAAATTAAAAAACAAATTGGTTTCAATTTTGGCTGCTGGCATATAGTAGGCAACATATCACAAAATACAGATGTCCGAAATATCATCTAGTTGTCCGGTCACGTTCCTTGATGTTCAATTCACCTGCACGAATCATCTAGTTGAATTTTTTATACCTGTTGCGGAATTAATTGGAGACTTTTCAATTTCTTATAGCTTAGCACAATTCAACGGCAAGTAATAATAATAATAATATAATATTTATTCACTCAATGTACAAAGATAACAAACAATATGAGTAAATAAATATAAAATCAAAACAGGCCCAATAGAAGGCATCGCCTGTACATGGACTAATAAATTTAAGTTGTAGCTGTAGAATGCAAATGACAAAAAAGGACAAAAATTAGCTACAGTAGATTATGTATTTAGTTGATGTTCGTATTTATGAGTTTATGAATTTCAGTCCCAGATATAGAATGTAGCCACTTTTTTAAATTTCTTTTGAAACAATTTCCGAAACGTATATCTTTTAAGTCTTTAGGTATAATTTCATAAATTTTAGGCACTAAATAGAGATATGATCGCTGCATTATAGATTTATGAGGCTGAGGAACTACTGTGCCACGAATTTTGTACCTGGTATAATGACTATATTTAATTTTTTGGTCGGTGTTTACAAATTTATGGTAGTGAGTGATACTGTGTAAGAAATAAAGCTGTCTTATATCATACATTCGAATATCTGCGTATAATTTTTCAGTGGGATAAAGTTTCGGTTTTTTAAATAACATTTTTAGAATACTTTTTTGAAAAACATCTAAATTATAGATATGTGAGGAACATGCAGCTCCCCATGCTAATATACCATATGTGAGATGAGGCTCAATCAGTGCATGGTATAATGTTCGGAGATATTTTTCTGTCAATATATTCCCAAGGTATTTAATTTTGTAGGATACAAATCTAACTTTATTTAAAATATAATTGACATGGATGTCCCATCGTAAGTGAGGATCCAAGACCACTCCAAGGTATTTTATGTTAGGCACTCTATTAGTTTGCATTTTTTGATCATTAATATTGAAGGAGAAATTTGTGTAATTTGGCAGATGTCTAGCATAAGATCCAAATGGTAAAAAATGTGTTTTAGAGTAGTTAATGCTTAATTTTCTACTGTCAAACCACCGAATAATTTTGATAAAATCATTTTCAATTACATCAGACCAGTCAGTGCCTTCATATAATATTGCAGTATCATCTGCAAAACTAGTTATTTTGCCAACTCAATTAATTTGGAAAATATCATTTAAATATATATTGAATAACAGCGGACCTAAGACAGTTCCTTGTGGGACACCACACTTAATATACATTTCTTTACTAAATGATCCTGATATCTGCACAGATTGTGGGCGATTTGACAAATAACTTTCGCTCAGTGAGTACGCGTTTCCTCTGAAACCAATTCTCTCCAATGATTCTAATAATAATTTGTGATTAAATGTG